ATTTGTTTCTAAGTGATATTCAATAAAGTGTTGATCCTGAAAATATACATTTTATAACAAAAATAGTTTACCTTTTCCTTCAATTTCTTGACGGTGATTGTGCATGTTTAAAACTTTTTAAATATGGATGCCGCAGTTAGTCCATCCAAATCAACATACAACCGTTTTATCTATATTATGAAACCCTTGAAAGTAATAAATATAACTAAGTTTTATGCGGAAAGATAACCAGAAATGTGTTGTGTTTCAAAATAAAAAAAGGAATTTCAATTTCATTAAGACTTTATTACTCGCCAGTAGGAAAGTAATATATGTGACCAATCATCAAATTGATCGCGTTACGAATTAGTTGAGACCTCAAAGTTGGTAAATAGATAGACCAACTTCGTATACATCTTTTAGAGCCAAACATCAGGGGGGTAACTCAACAATCAGGCATTGTACCTTTAATAGCCCACGTCCTGGATCTAATGTACCACCCTTGGCATTATTTGAGCATCAGCAACATACAGAGAGGGTTAAGAGCTTTCTCTTCCCCGAAGTCAGCATTGATGCATGATTTATAGAAATTGCGCTAACGTGCCATATTTATTCTTGCAACAGTAATAAATTCATGATCAACAGAAGAGAGGGCCAAGGGCCAAGGGTCAGGCGTGGTTTTACTTCCCCGAAGATAAGTTCAATTTACATTTAAGAGTCACGTTTTTGTTTCAAATGTTAAAATATACAGGGCGTTACAAAGAAATACCATACTCCTTGGTTAATCAAAATATAATTTAGGCTTTAATAGCAACTCTATGTTTTAAAAAAAGATTATCTAATTATCAATGATTTGACGACTTTGTGAGTAAAACGTATGCCTGAAAGCTTGGAGGAATCCAATTTACTGAATTAACTTTTATATTTTTATAATTTGTAAAAAACAACAATAATATGTAAAGAAAATTTTTTTAATGTCGTGGGGTATGGTATATTTTCTATCTATTCTGCTCAAAAATGAATTTCGAGTTCTCGGAAATTGCACATCACAATATAAAGTGAATATCTCGCTGCCATAATATGAAAATGCGCAAAGTGCGTTTTAATATTATTTTGTTTAAATTAATCAAAACGTTATATATTTTACGAATATGTTCCTTGATCAGAACATTGGAATTTATAACATATGTATGTGTACGTATTTAATGCTAAAACACATTGAAACCATGCACCATGAATAATTATTTTTGTTAGATGAAATAATAAAAAACATCATTCATGACGCAATGTAAGTTTCTTTAATTAGTATCTCTGAAGATTAGAAACACATGGTTAAATATAGCTATAGATGTTCATAAAACAAACATCAAGCTGCATTTATTTCCTGAAACCAATGAGGATTGGCTCCCAGAGTGCAACATCGATATTCTGTTCCATATATGGGCATGTCGTGACACAAAATTCGAATTTAAACAGCCGCCATTTTGTTCACTTCAATATTTGAATCGTGGATTTGGTCTTATTTTCGAATAAAATATTCCAAACCTCACAAGAAATGATTGAGATATTTATTTGAATCCTTTTAACAGTTTATTTTGAATTTATATATAATTTCGACGTTTTCATTGTTGGAAAATATCAAGTTTTGATCCCGGGAGCCAATCCTCCTTGTCCTTAAACTTAAGCCTAATTCCTTGAATTGCTAATATTATAAACATTGCATCATGGGAAATGACCTCCAGTTGCATGGCTATATATTGTGTATTGACTCAAGTGTTAGATATCTATATCAGACATTTCCCGAATCTTAATGTTTACACTCGGTGTTTCCATGCCTTTAAATATCCTAACACAAGTTGATGGTACTTTGTGTCATGTTAACTACGCAGAGGAATTACTTCTCAAAATGATGCATTGATGTAGAACTTCCCTCGGAATTTCTATATTTATATATCTTCTATCTTCATTTCATTCAGGAAACAGAAAATGTAAAATAAAAAGTAAATCAATAGCAATTTATTAAAAACAACAAAACAATTATGCACAAGAACACGAAATAGATTTAGCCAATAAAACATCTGAAACTGAATAAGTTTCTCGATTCTATATTTTCACCACATACGTAAATAAAAATAAGTGTAGAATATCAATACGTTGTAAGACACCCCCCCCCCCTCTCCTCATTTGAAAAGGGGAGTGGGTAACATGTGGGTTACCTTGGTCTACGCAATTGTGAGAACAAAAGTTGTTTTAGAGAGAAAATGTGACATAAAATTTAATGGTGAGATTCTAAACGATAAAGTCTGGTCTCAATTTTTTGAATGTACAACCGATACTACCCTTTTGGTAATTCAATGGAAAATTTTACATGGTATTTACCCTCAAAATATTTATTTGAAGAAATGTAACATTGAAAACTCTGACATCTGTAATTTTTGTAACGCACATGTAAAAGATGACATTGACCACTTCTTTATCAATTGTGACTGTATTAAATCAATTTGGGATGATGTAAATGTTACAAATGATCAAAAAATTGGAAATGCAATTGTTAAAAAAGAAGATTTACTTAAAACATTGGTAATTAAAAAAGCTATACATGATTTTAAAAAAAGGGTCAATACAGCTAGTAATGTAAAAGCTATTTTTGATAATGAAATAATGATCAGAAAGATGTAATGTAACTTGAAATTTCTATTATTGTATTTTATCTTATTGTATGCATGTAATGTAAAATATGTTTATTAATAAAGTTTGATTTTATAAAAAAAAAAAAAACCTTGGTCTACGTTTAGTTTTATAGTCTTGAAGTATATTCAAGATAACTCAGTGATAATGAATATATCGAAATGTAAGAAATAATTTGAATCTGACGATTAAAAATGTGTTGTAAAAAGAAATCTGAAAAAGCTGAATTCATTGGAATATTATCAAGCGCCCATTCTGATACTCAGACCATCTCTGCTATGCACAAGAATTCTAGAAGGAAACTGAGAGAAGGCTGTGATATCTCACGATGTCAAGCGCCAATCATGTCCGCAAATTAAAGATCGATTCTAAATCACATACATTTGCATCAATACCATGTCCCCAAAATCTAAATAGGCTACGTGTATTTCGGGGAAGTTAAAATTAAACAGTCGTACTATTATGCATGTTTATTAGCAGATCGTTCTGATTTATTGGAGTCATTAACTTATTCATGCAAAGTCCTGTTGTAAATTACTTCGCCACTCCCAAACGCATAAAAACTCAAAGGTGATCAGTTCGCAGAAATGGACCTTGATTAATCATCTTTTTTCAATGTTAATAGTTTTACATATACGCCCAGCTGTTTTATTTCAAGCATCCAAATAATCATTGACCTTGAATCTCAGTGGTTCACGAAATCTTTCGGCATCGCTCAAAGTGTTTGAAGATGTGATTTGTTTATGGCTAATGTTAACATTAGAACAGATTGCCTATTCTGTTTGCAGATATCTTTCAATTGAAAACAGATAAACTGTAAAATATCAACCAACGGCTCCTTTAGGTGCTCGGGAAAAAATCTTTTGGTATTTTACAAAATGTCATGGAGAAAGTTTTGGTCTGTCTATACGTACTAAATATAGGCCTAAATGTTTACAGTTGAAAACACGAAACATGTGAAAATACAGAATTATATCGTGTTCTGTGTTTTCAATAAACCACCTTTCCAATAAATCCTGACCTCTTTTGATGGAGATTGCTACTACGTACGTAGAAAATAGTATCTGTTATTAGTATATTGGGCGATGTGGTATTTGTTTTTATGCAACTTCTCAATATACACATATATATATGGGTTATATAGTATTGATACATTTTTTCATGGCTTAATTGCAAGATAGAGCCATTTTAACCAAATGTAAGATACAAGTAAAACATGCAGAATAAATTTCTCTCTGGGCCTGGGTACATTTTTTATGAAGTGGAAAATGACTGAATCTTTCCAAAATACTAGTTAGTTAAGAAAAATATTGGTCAGATTTTTAAAAAAATTACCAGGGGCTTAGAACCTATCATATTTCAATATCTAGATAAGGTGTTTATATCCAACGGGGCGTTTTGGAAGACAACGGGGCGTTTTGGTCAATTTCAAACAGTTGCGTAAGACTTTTAAAAATTGCTGCGTTTAACGTAATAAATATGTTGATGCAGTTATGGACCGTTGTTATGGGTGTCCTTGCTTGAAGACGTGATACTAATGGGCAAGACAGGATAGATCTTAAAACACAAGTCGATTGGTGTTTAGAATCGACCAGGGCAAACCTACAAACGGACACACCGATGGACAAAATATTTAAGAATGAAACTACGTTTTTAGTCATAGACTCGGCGGGGCGTTTTGGAAGACAACGGGGCGTTTTGGTCAATTGCAAACAGTTGCGTAGGACTTTTCGAAATTGCTGCGTTTAACGTAAAAAATATGTTGATGCAGTGATGGACGGTTGTAATGGGCGTCCTTGCGCAGAATATGGAGGAGAGTGATAGAAGAACTGGCGAGATTTTTTTTATTTATTTTTTTATTTATTTATTTATTTCATATAATACATACAATAGTTAACAATGAAGTGGGTGACACAAAGATTTGTGTATATTCCCACATATGGAGTGAGTAAAATACAAGTATGTTACATTATGCAGTTTGGGGATCTGCCGTTGCATGCCCTCGACAAAAAATATAATATGTGCCATCAAATTGCCCAAGGAAGGAATTAAAGTTGCAATAAATATTTCTTGGTTTGTTTTTTCATGAAAATTGTACTTTTAATGGATTGAATGTGCGGGGGTAGTTGGTTCCAAATATCAGGTATAGAATACGCTAGCATTGATTTTCCATAGTTAGTGCGGGTTTTTGGCTTGTCGTAAGATTTCTTATTTCTTGTGTTGTAATTGTGTCTATTCTCAACTGTTTTGAAAAAAGATGGAAAAAAGATATCGAGGCTTTTGGTTGAAATCTCTGAAAATTTGCATCTTCTCACATCTGGGGACCAAAACGCCGCTAAAACGACTGAAAGATATTTCTGTAAAGGTTTTAATGGGACAAGTTTGAAGAAAAATGGTGAAGTGTGAGACTCACAATCATAGATTTTCCAAAGACAGAGTAGGTTTTAAATTCAAATTAACGGTTTGCGGGGCGTTTTGGTTTCGATACGCCCGGCCCGGAGAGTTTGTATCGCGTGCTAATGGACAAGATAATAATTATCGATTTCAGAAAACTCTGATTCTAGTTTTAAAACTAGTGGACAGTGGACATAAATATATTTTTAGTAATTCTTCTAGTTGTTAACACTTTATAACATGACATATTATAACTTTTTGTTTGCTAAATTCTGTTTCTTAACTTTTGGATCAACTGGTAACGTATTACAGAATATTTTCATGTATTTACAGATATTTGCGATCATCTTTTGGCTGCTTGTCCTTGTCTCCGTGGCAGTCATCTTCATCGACACTGTCCATGAGTTCAGAATCCCGAAGGATTCCAAAATGGACGAGAATGAGAAGATTTCCGATCCGACACTTCACTGGTGGTTCAATACAACCGGCAATCCAAAGAGTGACATGTACCAGACAACCAAGTCTAGTCCAATTTCGAGATATTTGGATTTTGTTTTGAATATATTTTTCACGATTGAGTTAATTTTGAGGTTTATGACAGTGCCTAATAAGTTGGTATTCATGCGCAATTTGATTACTATCATTGATATCGTATGTGTCGTCCCCGCCTTGGTTATGTATACGATCATATTTGCAGTGCCTGACTACCAGAAAAGCACGGCTCTTGAGTGGATCGTCCGTGTTGCCTGGATGTTGAGATTACTCCGCGTTCTGAGGATCTTCAAACTGACGAAGCATTACACGGGATTGAAAATATTCGTAATGGCGTTGAAAGCCAGTTGGAGGGAGTTGGTACTGCTGCTGGTGTTTATTCTAATAGGTGTGATGATTTTCTCCATTTTAATTTACTTCGCGGAGTTTTCACAACCTGACACCTTTCCTAATATGGTCACTGGCCTTTGGTGGGGCATCATCACCATGACAACGGTCGGTTATGGTGACGTCTACCCGAAATCAGTAGCCGGGTGTGTTATTGGGTCTTTGTGCGCTCTTAGTGGACTCATTGCCACGGGACTCCCAATCCCAATTATAGCAAACAATTTTAACCAATATTACAGCTATGCAAACCTAAAGCCTAAGATCTTCAATAAAAGAGGGGGATTGACCGAAATGAAACGATTCTCTACGAGAAAGGAGAGTCAACGGAGAACTGGAAAGTTTGTTCCTGACGATGAGACAATTTTTGAAAATGATGCCCCATTCGAAAACAGTGATCCTATAAGTGAAAACCCCGTGGCAAATAGCCCAATTGAAACTCCAATTTAAAACTTAATGTACTGAAGTTTGAAACTCGATGTACTTCTTGTGTTATTGGTTCAGGAATCTAGGGTGTCTGTTGTCGACATCAGGACACAACGTGATCAGAAAAGAGAGAGTGCAAACTGTAGCAATAGTATCAACAATTGCCAACATGTCTCTTTGAATTATTGTCGTTACACCAAGAACTAAGAGTACAAGCGACAGGCATTTTTAGAACAAAAATGAAAAAAACTTTTCGTGCGTGCCTTATGATTTCATATAAGTTGTCACTTTTTGTAACTATGGTAATATATATTGCTTGCTACATGTCTTGTGTTTAAGTGACATATCTAGCTGAACTAGTATAACTCCCTAAACTCCTTATTATGGTAACCAATGAATATTACTCAAATTTTAAGATGCCTGTGACATGGTTATTATAGATTTTAAGTCAATCTGACCTAGAGTTTTCAAGTTATCACTAAGTAATAAATAAGCCTAATGAGCTATTGCCATGGTTACATATATCGTTCAAAATATAAACAATATTCCTGTAAAATCAACACAAAGTCACTGTTTTAACTTAAACTAATAAACTTATTTTATTACTATTTCAGACTGTAAAAGTAGTTGTTTGATCGCACACTTATTGTATTGCATAACAGTTGTTGAAAATTTTTTTTTTGAATAATGTGAACTACAACTGTAGAAGACTGTAGACTGATTAATTTTATTTTAATGTTGCCCCTTATTCTCTCATTGTGATGTAAATTAATAGACTCGATATTCTTTTCTCACTCATTTTTGACACATCTCAATGAAGTCTAAAAAATTCAATATCTCTTTGCATTTTTACTTGTTATATTTTATGTGTTTTCGACTATTGCCCATTATGCTTTGTCACTATTATGTAAGATAATACGAAGAAGATCAATGTACAAAAAAGTCTTAAACCAGTAAATAATGATTATTTTGATAATAAATAGAAACGGTGACAATAATGATATGAAAAGAGTGTTTCTTTAAAAGGTAATTTTATACATGTTAATAGAATGACCTGTATTTTGAAATATAAAGATCAGAATGACCTAATTTTGGGATCTGGTTATCAAACAAAGTCCCTTCTTTAATATCCTTTACAATTTCGTCTAAAATATCTTGGGGGCTAATATAGGGTCACCTGTCCTTTGCTGGCATAATTAGACTCCAGGCACCAGTCCAATAGCTGCACAGATGCCAGAACAAGTCCCCCAGATTGTTGTAGCAGCACCAGATACGCTGCCAATGGCACCTGCCGACTGAAGGGCGGCAAACCAGCCACCTGCAGGAACAGCCCCGGCATATCCAGCCATCCAACCTGCAGCCCAACTACCTAGAAATTCAATAGAACTTTTGTCAGGAAACAAACTTTGATTATGAGTGATGCTAAATGCATTTAAAAAGTTATCTTCACGCCAAATTCTTGTTCATAATCAATTTGATTTAGGAAATCATTTTATGTTACCACAGCGATTAAAATTGAAAAGTATAAAAAAAGATTAATCAAACTAAAGGTGCAACGAAGACATATCCAAGACAATATTTCAGGTACGATATGATGCAATAATCTGTCAGCTTAATCAAAATGGGCAGTTCAAAAATGCCTTTCTATTTCTTTGTATTTCCTCAACAGTTGACATAAATTATGTGACAAGACCAAACTACGTGTATACATAATTGAATAAACTATATCATATATATTTGACACTGACCTGCTGCTATGCCAGAAGCCGTAAATCCAAGATACGCCAGTAAAGCTGTTCCAGTTACTCCGCCTATACCAGCGACAGCAGCACAGCTTGCTACACATGTCCCAGCTACAAGTGAAATATATAATGGTATAAAAAATGGTATAATAGCTACCAATTATGCCAGTAAAACTTTCCATTCAGTCCACTGGCTATTAATCCCTTATCTGATTTTCATAAGGACTCTAGAAAAGTATAAAATGATTGTAACGTTTGAAAGAACAGACTTCCCTCGTATAGAAAACGCCTTTTATATTGATATAAACAGGGCAAAAGGCACTAAAATTGCGTTACACAAGGTGGCATTCTGAAGACAACTTTTTACCATGTTTCTTTACTTTATATACCACATACAGGGTGTCCAATAAATAAGGTGAAAGATATTGTAATCTGAGTTCATCAGTGCTTCCAAATTTATTTCCTCTCGAGTCACGCTTGAGTTCTGAGTAAAAGTCATTGGGTGCAAGGTCTGGGGAATATGGAGGGTGTGCAAGTAGGGGTAGCCCCAGTGCCCTAATAGTTTCACTAGTGAACATAGCTGTGTGTTAACTTAGCAAGACTTCAGGAAATGGGCAAGAATGGGTTTGAATGTGTGTTTAGAGAGTGGGTGAATAGGCATAAGAAGTGTATAGCTAGAGATGGACATTATGATGCATAGCTTATTTTCATAACAATGGGACTTTAGGGCTGTTTTATATTGTATTTGTTGTAGTTATAGACCTGGGAGTATGAATAAAGCTATCAGAAAAATAAATATGTTTTGGAAAGTTGTGACGTAAACAAACTTGCTTTAAATTCAAGGAATAAAGGTAAAAAGGTTTGGGCTACAAACTCTGAAAAGGACGATTCTCGGTTTGGAGAAAAGTCTCCTGGGCTAATAATTTTTTTCATGAAAAATATAAAAATATTACCCAAATTAAACTATGAATATTCAAAAGAGGACATTTAAATCTACAAGATGTAAAAATAACAAATTGGTCAGAAGCAGGGATAACGCTCAATTAGACCGATTCAATAAAATACAACGTCTCGATTTGGGGAAAGAAGTTCATCAGTGTACTGCGCTAATATTTTTTTGCGAAAAATCTAGAAATATTACCCAAATTAAATTATGACTATTCAAAAGAAGACATTCAAATCTATATTATGTAAAAAAATCAAATTTGTCCGAAGCAGGGATAATGCTCATTTAGATTGATGAACTTCGTTCTCCAAACCGAGAATCGTCCTTTCATCAAGATTGGTGCAATATTAAGAAAGTTACAATATCTTTCACCTTATTTATTGGACACCCTGTAACTACGTATTTCGTGTATGGCATCAAATCAATTTTAAAACATAGATATATTGATAGAAACAGGGGCAAAAGGCACTTAAATGGGGTTACACAAGGTGGTATTTAAAATACAACGTTTGCTATATTTCTGTATTTTAGTGCCACATTATTTGACATAAATGCTTATTTTGTGTATGACATCATCTTTTATATTGATAGAAACATGGGCAAGAGGCGCTACAATGGGGTTACACAAGGTGATATTCTAAAATACAACTTTTTTTACAGTTTCTGTACCTTATACCACATAAATGATTTTGTGTATGACATCAAATAATTTTTAGAATAAAAACTACCTTTCATCAAATTGAATAAGAAAAAAGGTAATATTCTATTATACAACTTTTTACTCTCTTTCTGTACTTTATACCACATAAATGCATTTTGTGTATGACATCAATTTATTTTTAGAATAAAAAACTACCTTTCATCAATAAGAAAAAATATTTTTGAAAACATCAAACATTTCTTTGAAATCCAAAAATGCAGAGCGATTTTTTAGAGTGAAATGTATGCTTAATTCAGAAATATAGCAAACGTTGTCTTTTAAATACCACCTTGTGTAACCCCACTTTAGTGCCTTTTGCCCCTGTTTCTATTATATTATAATATATCTTTTTGTAATTAATGTGATGCCATACACGAAATATGTAGTTATGTGGTTTATAAATTAAAGAAACAAAGTAAAAAGTTGTCTTCAGAATGCCACCTTGTGTAACCCCATTTTGGTGCCTTTTGCACCTGTGTTTTCCTTATCAGGGAAATCTGTTCTATCAAACGCTACAATCATTTTTGTGGGAAAGAACCGGACAGCAAAACTTCTTTTCAGAGGGACACGATCAGGGATCATATAGCACTGTCTAGCAAGTCATTAATTACGACAAAATGTCATCACCTGTTATTGCTAATGGTTACAAAAGTGTAACAAATGTGTTACAGAATAATGCGGACCACCGCCCACTGATGATTAATGCCACTCGCAAAAAACAGAAAATGTTACAAGTCTACTTATTCGTTGCCATGGTAACATTTCGAGTCGACAATGGTTTGTAAGAAATTAAAAAAAATTAAGACAAGTATTCGGTTTCCATGGTAACATATATTCATTGCCATGGAACTGTCAAAATATGTTAAAAGTTATATGTAAAAATATAATATATGTAAAATCTGTTCAAAGTAACACAGTCATGTCTATTCACATGTGTTGACCACAAAAATGTTCATATGTGAATACTACTTCTTGATTATTGCAAATTGTTACAAAATGTCCACCCATTTGTTTTCGTCTATCACACGTGCGTATCACCCAGGATTAGTCCATTACCAGCAATGTATCAAAGGCATCGGATAACATGTTTTGAAAAACTCTCAAAAGTAATACAATATTACAAATTACAACTGATAAACCCAAAAACGAACTGATATTCAGAATCAGGCATGCAAATTGCAAATTAAAAAGTGTTAATTCATTTAGTTATTCAGATGAGCAAAATTGTAAATATTTAATATTTACAATTTATTTACAATTTTTCTGAAAACAAAATCTGGTCTGGGTTCTCTAAAAGAAGCCCCTATCAGCCTATGCACGACCTAAATAATGAACCCACTGATGCAGATTTTCTTATGTTTACTTACATATAATTCCCCATCCACCCGCATATGTGAGGCACAGATTCAGTACCAGGAACACTTGAAACAACTGCTTAACTGTAGACATCTTGCCAACAACTTTACAACCGTGACTGGCTGTTTCTGCAATGAAGATGAATATTATTTAATAGACCTCCATTCTACTAGCCTACTAGGCAATGAACACTTGGTACAACTGCTTTGCTGGAGTCATCTGAAACCATAAAAGTATGAACACATGTATGGAACAACTTATACGTCTACCCAAAAATTCCCTCCCCGCATAAATTAAGAAATTTAGATAACCAACTGACATCTCTTGACATTTTATTTTTAATTTAAGTTCATTTTAAGAAAATAGAGCTTTTGTAACAACGAATCTTAAGAGGTTCTGGACAAATCATTTGATTCTGGACTTGTCATATTTTTTTCAACGAAATCACATCCAAGGGTTGAATTTTATAAGCTATTTAAACACAGGAGTGGACATTTTTGCCTTTGGGGCCACTCCGTCTTAACTTCCAGGATCGCCCCTATACAGAAGTTACAATCCATTGGAACTGCTTATATGCAAGTTGTCTATTTAAAGCATAATTTCTATCACAACCATTCCCCTTGTAGTTCAGTTTGTCATTTAATAGTGGCAGCACTTTCCAGTATCATCAAAATGCAAGCATTTAAGTATGTTCAGCTTAGACTATAGTGTCATTACTTTCCACAATGTTGTAGCCCTTTCACGTATTTGTAAGAAAGGCCTAGTGTACACTGACTGTGACAGATCATTTCAAATATATCGATAACTTTGCCTTCAAATCATAAACGCAGGACCTACAAAAAAATAAAGTTGAAACGGCAACGTGATAACACAAGAGCGTATGACGCTCCATATGTACTCTTCTGAGGCCTCATTATCCGGTCGACGCACCGCAAATCGCAATCGCAACGTAAATATTTAGCGAATCGTACGCAAAACGATATTATGAGGTCATCTCAAAGGCACTCTAGCGCAAATTCATTGCCGTTTTGCGTCTTTAGCGCAAATCGCAGTTTTCTTATTACACGGTAGACGCATCGCTATTTTCATTTCGCATCGCAAATACACTGCTAACCGCACGCAAATTGGTATTATGCAGTCATCGCACAGTTGCGTCCACGTAAATCAGTTGATTTTTATGTCGCAAACTCCACTTTATTTGCGGCATCCCTGACCCTGCCGCAATATAAATCGCAAACATATCATCAAGAATCTTGATAGTTTTCCTATTTAAATTAACATTATCGTTGTAGAAATCTAGGAAGTGCCCTTTGAGACATCCAACTAAAAATAGGTTGAAAAACATTAGAGACACAAATAACCAAAACTTATCAAAATCAAGTCTGAAAGTGCACGATTATGCTACCTTGGTTTTGTGAAATCTATAATAAATATCGCAATTCCATTTCGCAAATATCGTCTGCTAAAATTAAAATATTAGGGTTCGATCAAGCTGGAAAATGTGGCGCATATTATTCCAGGATGTTCACAATAGAAGAGGTTTACGCTTATTCAGAGACAGGAGTCAGCCGTTAGAGATGACTGACGATGAGATATTAAACAGATATCGCATGCCGAGGCCACTCATTCTTGAGTTGATTAATATATTAGATGGGGATCTAGCGTCAATAACAAGGAATCCTCAGGCAATTCCATGTCAGCTAAAAGTATTCATTTCATTACGATTTTATGCTACAGGTTGTATGCAAATGATAAATGGAGATATATTCGGGGTATCCCAACCTACTGTTTCGAACATTGTTGCTGAGGTATCGGCGGTTTTCTCTAGGTAGGCTATATCAGTCGGACTAATTACAAAGACACCGTGTCTTGTTTTCAAGATGGGCTGCCTTCCAGTGAAAGATCTAGATTTTCGCAAGATATATATAGGTTATGTAGTGGGAGGGATTCAATATGGGTTTTATTATGATGGACAATATGATATTTACCGAGAGCCCGGAGGGTCAGAGGGAAATACCAAATTGTCCCTCACAATATGTGAAATATCAAATTGTCATGAGGAATAAACCCATATTTAATCCCGACCAGTAAATTAGCTTTTTATTCCATGATATTCATAACTGTCTTCATAAAATCATTAGTTAGATTTTTCTATGAAAAAATGGTATAATTAATCAAGAAAATATGACTTAGCTTTATGATATTTTTAAATATAAAAAAATTATTGTACATGTGTAACATAAACACGTCAACATCAAAACATTCAGCAATACGTAAGCATTTTTGTCTGTGTCAGAGCGATGATGATAAAACTGAAATTCGTTTTTCACATAAGAACATCATTTTAGCATGCTATATCGACCCAACTGATTGAAAGAGGAAGCTTTGTTTGGCAAAAATTTTCAATACGATTTTTTCGCAATATCAAAAATATTCCCGGTTATTCCTCGGGAATTAGTAGTATCATGGGATAAATAGAGATTATCCTATATGAGGTTCAGGATATTGAACTATAGGATGATCTGTTTATCCCAGAAAATGTCCAACCAACCGTAAGAATTCATTTAGAATAGCCTGATTTTCAGATATTCATCCACATTTATTTCTGAAATCCTTGTTTAACAGGGATACGCTCATTTCCTTCCTTCAAACAGATCGCGATTGTCTGCCTTTTCTCCATTAACGTTTACAGTAATTATGCGCATGTTACAAAAATGAACCAATATGCGAACGGCGATTATGACGTCAGCGGGCAGATATACTATATCTGCCCGCTCAGAGCGGGACGTATAGCTATATCTCACCGCTGATGAAAATATATAGAGGTTATTTAATGGGAGGTTTTTGATACAGGGTATATCTGAGGGAAATACAATATATCAACCCGAGGGACCGTAGGGACCGAGGGTTGATATATTGTATATTTACGTACCGAGTTGAAATAGATAACATTGATTGACACATCCGCACTGGCGTAAACATATACATAGACATAAAAAATCGATAAATCTATTTTGAGCTCTAAGTTTAAATTTCCCGCGTTTCCAATTTATTTGCGATTAGCATACTGTTGCGTCTGCGTTGCGTCTGCGTTTGCGTGAAGCGCGTAATACGACGCAAACCATGATTTGCGCTTGCGAATAATGTTGATTCGCAAGCGCAACGCAAATCGCAACGCTAATTTAGCGCTGACCGGATAATGAGGCCTCTGATTGATGTAGCTGAATCGTCATCTGTACCGTTCTGGGTGGGGTAGGAAATCTATATTATATGAACATAAGAAAAGTTAGGTAGCTTTATTGGTTACTTCCAAAAAGAAGAGTATCTATACGGCTATTTCACACTATTGTGCGCAAATTGTACCTTGGTCTTGTTATAGGACTCAAACAGGAAACTTATTTCACTAGCAAAGTATTTTGTCATGTTATAATACTTGTATATAACCAGTCCACTCTTAAAAAATTACTTAAATAATCTTGAACTACTGAATAATTTTTAAGTAATTCAAAGTAATTACAAGTAATTATAAGTAATTTAAAACAATGATATATATATTAATTTAAAAAAAATTAAAATGACTTCACAGGCACTCAGAATTTATGGTGAATTTACTAATGCAAGGAGAGAAATTGAAATACTTACTGTAGTAATTGTAATACTCATTTATATAATTAAGCAATTAAAAAACTCAAAATGACAATATAAGTAAAACCTAAGTAAAATATGGGAAATACTCAAGTATTTCATTTTTAAGAGTGTCTTACTTCCTACAAAATTTTGTGTTGATAGGTCTGACAGGTTTTTCAAAAACAGTACCCATACAGTTTTAGGATTTTTCAAAGAGTAGACCCAGTTCTAGGGATTTTTCATCAAAATGGGACTCATATCTAGTGTTTTTTCTTCAAAACGGGACCCACATCTCAGGATTTTCCGGTGAAAAAGTGACCCACTTTAGTGGCACGTCCCCATACAGTATAGCCAATATGTGGTAAATCCTGGCTACGGGCCTGCTAGTCACGTCTGAGACATGGACTTGAGTGAATGTTTCTAACGTTTTCCTAATAGGCCTACCTATATACGTGTTTACAATTATATGACTTATATGGAAATATTATATAGTTTTCGAAAGAAAATATGACTCTTGCGTGGTCAGCTGAGATCGGCAAAAATAGCTTCTATAATATTTTCTTTTTGGACACCCTGTAGGTCGAAGGTAAAGGTCGAAGGTGCAGGTCGAAGGTCGAAGGGTTTTATAACATTCCGTCTAAATTGTAATTATGTTTCTTATCCAATATATTCAACACTTTGTAGCGGAGTGTCAGTGTCTCTGGGTTTGTGTAAAAAACGGGTGACCGAGTACCGGGTGGCCGGGTAACCGGGTACTCAACGTTCCTTTCAGGGTTACCAACTTTCAAATTTGCACATTTGTAGACTACCCTTCAATATTTTTACGTTATCATATTACCAAGAACCTCAGTGTAAGAGACTGAATTTCGGAAGTCCTAGGTAGTTATTTACACAGTTTACACGTACGATGACTTTAGTTGCTTGATTTATTGTCTGAGTGATTGACAGGATATCGATGATTGTTTTCTATGATGGCGAGTTCTACTAGATATTAAACAAATCTTGAAGATTTACGTACGCGTAAGTTAAAACGTTATTTGCCATTTTTATCTGTTTATTAGTGTACGATGTACAATACAACGTTAGTGACTTGATTTATTACCTCACTGATTGACATTATATTAATTTTGTTTGTCGTTTTGCAGGTTGATTTATTGGTAAATAAATTTTGTTGCTTGCTTGGTTGTTTGCTTGATTGGTTGCGTCACTGGTATGTTGATTGGGATGTCAGTTGGGCGTTTTGAGGCATAAAATGAAAAAATCAAATTCCTAACCCTGGTAGGAAGGTAGGGTACCCTTATCCTGTCCCCGGATCTATAGTCCTGGTACGGGATAAGGGTACCCAGTCACCTGTTTTTTTTACTTTTTACACAAACCCCAGTGTCTCTACATATAGTGTATAGTGCCACGTCTTCTACCTGATGGTCAATTATTCTATGCTATCGTTTAACATGAAAATGAAGTTTATAAGTTATAACTACCTTTACGTATTGTATGGTTTCTTGAAATTACTCCTCGAAAACTCCCACCGCCCTATTGCTGAAGTGAACCAGCCTTCGTCTTCTCAGAAGTGGAAACTACCGGTAGTACACCTGTATTGCACAGAACGAAACGCTGGACAATCAATTACGCATGCGCATTGAGTAAAAATGAAACGAAGACACTAGAGGCAATCTGCGCGAGATTCCATTTTTCGATTCGGTTTTTGGCGCATGCGTATTAAATCAAGCAATTTAATTGGTTCAAATTATTATGACGCATGCGCAATGAGTAACTTGATAAGAACATTTAATTTCAGATAGATGTCACTTACGTTCATTATTTCACAGCAGTCCTTACCCATAATACAACTTATTTTGCAGGGATATTTTTGTTTCGTGTCAAAACAAAACATATACACCAAAAACAAATGTAATGACATAATATCAACCTGTACTGGATTTGTAGACGTTTGTTGTACAAACTTAAACCGAACCGATGACAGAAAAGCACTTTGAATCATGGGAGTGACGTACTTCCCTTAAAGAAAAAGCGAACCAAGTAAAAACCGAACCTCGCGCAGATTGCCCCGACTCAACGAAGATTGGATTTTTATATGCTTTGGAATTTAGTGTTTATTTTCTTTATTTTTGTAGTATTTGTTTATTTTCTGTACAACCAATTGCCATGAATGTATAAACAATAGGGTAAAACTCAATATAAAGCATAAAGTGGGAAGTGACACAATCTTAGTCTCTACAGGTAAGCAACCAGTCAAAACAGTTTATGTAAAAATAGAAACATTTATATTTATCCTAACTTTTGTTTATTTTAGTTTGTTTTGTAGTTTCGCTATCATTCATATCTGTGTCCTCTTATATTTTGATACTTCTCTGCCATGTTATTTTCGGAAAAATTACATGGCTGAAACTCCCTAAATTACAAAAGGCCACAGCTTTGCTGCACATTATACCATGGGCTCTACCACCTGATAGAGCCCATGATTATACATTACGATCTGAATATTGTCTTGCTTTTAGAAATTCCCTCGGTTTGGAATTTGATTTTTGTAAAGCTGTATCTCATGCATTTCGACCATTGCTTTTGTTAGAATTTTTTCATGGCCTGAGTTCGTCGCTAACATGCTATTGCTAAATATAAGAGTTAGCTGACGTTTGGGAGTCTGACTTACCTTCTAAAGGTTAGAACCCGAATCTTAATGAAACCATATCACCTTTGTTGCGTCGATGATGATGCATAAACACAGCATTTGATAGAAATTAGTGTAAATGCTTTTCCAACTTTTTCATTTTTCATCAATGTTGACTTCCGGGAAGGCGTTGTAGTTATCACGAAATAACGCATTGAACCTTGAACTTTACTTTGTTGACGTGTCAACCAAGCATGTCTGGTGTGAAAATTAAAATAATATTAAGCAATGTTCTACATCCGCCAAGCTAAGTGAAGTAGCCAATATTTAAAATTACCAATTTCAAGTGAAGTACGCAACGAACGAAACTGCGTGATCTACACTCCCACTATTGGTCTGAACGAAATGCTACGTAGAAATATGAGCCGTCTGCTGTATAAGTCGATTAATAGAGTAAGACCTGTTGGTGATGCTTTATAATTTAGACCAAAACATTGAAGAACAAACGAACCTGTAGATCGTGAAAACAACGAACAAATATTCGGTTTTCACATATGTTCGGTAATTTTTTCTATTGAAACTTCCGGAACTTACAAGGAAATCATTCATTTTCACGGTCCATGATTTACCTCTTGGATGTTGTGGCAAATGCTCCATGGTTGACGGAACAAAGGTGATATGGTTTCATTAAGATTCGGGTTCTAACCTGTAGAAGGTAAGTCAGACTCCCAAACGTCAGCTAACTCTTATATTTAGCATGTTAGCGACGAACTCAGGCCATGAAAAAAAAAAACTAGGAAGTTCACCCATTTTGTTACATGACATTCCGTCAAAGTACCTAGTTGTGGAACAGTGTGATTTGAAGCAGTGTAACAGACTGTAAATAAGTTATTAGACTGGAAGCAAGGCTGGAAGTATGCTTACTCTTTTGACTTCCGGTTTTAACTCTGGTTTTTATTTAGTTATAATCATAAACACAACGTGTTAAGGTCTCTCAATATTGTAATTGTACAAAGGAATTAAAATTACATGTATTTAGAATTTTTTTTCGAAGTTAGCAGACTTCATTCCATTATATTAAATATTAAATATTTGATAGATGGTGCTGACTGTGGTTTGCTGTACTGACGTTCTTTGGAATCCAATGACGCTCGCTGTGTTGAGAAGGTTGAAGACAGTTAGGAACCTAAGCTGACATAGTCCTAGTTAGAGTATATAGTAGTACCAGGCTAATGATTCGGATGTACTTTACCATTGTGTGTTGAAGATCGGGACTATCCATCGTGTGAAAATACCAATGGAGCAGGTTCTCGAGTACCCTCATCTGTAAATCTGCATGCAGTGTATCAGCTGTTTAATTGCCCTTGGGTACTCTATAGTCTCGTCTTATATTTGTACTATTCCTGACAAACAGAAATGGCAGAAACATCCAAAATTGATATGGAGCAAATGCGACGTCTTGCTTCAATTATGGAGAAAGGAACAATCAAGTCTGCTAGCATGCCACAGGTAATTTTATGAAATAAAGTTATTGAATGTTATACCTATTTCTATTATTTTGCAATTGGCACTAATGAATAGTATAGATATAGACTACCCCCATGTACAATGTACATGTAAGGGTGTAGACTTTTGGCTTGTAACCGAAGATACCTCAAGAAAAGCCGGAGATTACCGAAGATTTTCTTTGGTACCATCAATGTGAAGAGAACGTCTCTGATTGGTCAAAAAGAGAGGCTCGGCATTCTCCGTCAGATTGAATCGGCAAAATTTGGTTGTATGGCTTACCTTCGGTTGTATGCCCCAACCTCGATTGACTGTAAAAGATGCTGTACCATACAAGTAATAACAAAGGTTTTAGGCCAATATAAAGATGGCAGCAGCATCCTAATCCTAATATAAAGAGAATAACAAGGAGGATTGGCTCCCAGAGTGCACCACCGATATTCTGTCCCATATATGGGTATGTCGTAATACAAAATTCGAATTCAAACAGCCGCCATTTTGTTCACTTCAACATTTAAATCGTGAATTTTGGTCTTATTTTCAAACGAAAAATTCCAAAACTCACAAGAAATGATCGAGATATTGGTTCGAATCTTTTGAACTGTTTATTTTGAATTTATAGTCGGTTTTAATTTCAGAAAATAACGACATTTCGACGTTTTCATTGTTGGAAAATATCGAGTTTCGATCCTGGGAGCCAATCCTCCTTGGAGAATAAGAAATACACACAGATTGATTGCCACGCCATCTTTATTCAAAAATTATTTCTATCACCCTTCACCTATGTAGAAACACTATGTGTAATAATCTATTTACAATACCTACACAGGCACTCTAGCCATTTTTGCGGATCTCCTAAAGAACAGATATGTCTGATTGTTGGCACTCTCACTGTCATAGTCATCTGTTATAGAAAACTGACTGATGATTGACATTAATGCCTTGTTCATTTATCTGATCTTTAGGCAAAACTGGAAGTTGAAAACAGTCCTTATATGGAATGAGTTTTGTGTGAAAATACTATTCAAATTTCTGAACATACTCTATGGCACTTACAGTCAACATATTTGTGTTTCAGAGTGTTGAGTTAAAGGACAAAGATATTCCGTTAGTTACCACAATCCAAGAGGTCGCAGTCTATGATGCCAACAAAGAAGGATATGGCCATGGTAAGTGAAAATATGTCTTTTGATGACGGGCTTCCTTCTTGGAGCTCTCTTACTAAATTTTTGGGCCCATCCAAGGGGAAGTAGGCCCCATGCCCCCCCCCCCCAAGGATTCACCAGGGCTTAATGATACTGCTATTTTACAACTTGAATGTCCAGAGTAACAGATCAGTCAGAAATGGCAATGGCGTGTATAGTGGCAATATAGTGTCAAAAGATTTCTACTGTTCATATTCAAATGTGAATAGCGGTCTGTGACTCTGTATTCACTATTGCCATCTAAATGATCAAGCTTTAAAAAGTAAGATAGTAGAATGTCAAAACGGAGAATAAATTAATAATATTGAGGAATTCAAGAGGTTGATTTTCTTTTAAATTAAACATTCTTCATTCAAGAATGTTTTCTCTTGTAAACATCTCTTGCAAATAATCTTTTCAAGTATTGCCATTTACCTATGTTTCACTGTGTATATATCTGTTCTCTTTACACAGGTTTAACTGTAACTGTATTTATCCGCTCTCTATATACAGGTTTCACTGTACTGTATTTATCTGTTCATTATATACAGGTTTCACTGTACTGTATTTATCTGTTCATTATTTTCAGGTTTCACTGTACTGTATTTATCTGTTCATTATATACAGGTTTCACTGTGCTGAATTTATCTGTTCATTATATACAGGTTTCACTGTACTGTATTTATCTGTTCATTATATACAGGTTTCACTGTACTGTATTTATGTGTTCATTATATACAGGTTTCACTGTACTGTATTTATCTGTTCATTATATACAGGTTTCACTGTACTGTATTTATCTGTTCATTATATACAGGTTTCACTGTACTGTATTTATGTGTTCATTATATACAGGTTTCACTGTACTGTATTTATCTGTTCATTATATACAGGTTTCACTGTACTGTATTTATGTGTTCATTATGTACAGGTTTCACTGTGCTGAATTTATCTGTTCATTATATACAGGTTTCACTGTACTGTATTTTTCTGTTCATTATATTCAGGTTTCACTGTACTGTATTTATCTGTTCATTATATACAGGTTTCACTGTGCTGAATTTATCTGTTCATTATATACAGGTTTCACTGTACTGTATTTATCTGTTCATTATACAGGTTTTAGTGTACTGTATTTATCTGTTCATTATATACAGCTTTCACTGTACTGTATTTATCTGTTCATTATACAGGTTTTAGTGTACTGTATTTATCTGTTCATTATATACAGATTTCACTGTACTGTATTTATCTGTTCATTGTAAAAAAAGGTTTTAGTATTCATATTTCACTCTATGGCGCTTATCTGCCATCTGTATATGTTCGCTTTACACAAGTATTTCTGTACTATTTATATCCACTCACTTTACCCAGATATTCCTGTATAATTCATTATCTGTTCACTATACATATGTCTCACTGTTTGATATGTATTTGTTTAATCTACAGGTTGAACATGAACAGTACATTGTTTAATCATTCATTCTACACAAGTTTAACTGCATTATAATCATTTGCCTCTACCATTGCTAGAATGCAAAAAAGACAGTCAATGGCTTCATTATTCACACCCGGTGATCGTGAATATGGGACGGAGGGGGGGAGCAGGCAATTTCTGCTAGGAAATTCAACAAATCTGGAAGATTTATTTTTTCAAGAAAATGTTTACTATTGAATTGCTAAATGGATAGGCGCACGGTATGGTAGAATATGTTAGGTTTTCTGGGATTTTTTCTGAAACGATACGCATCTAAGGTATGAGATCTATTAAAAAAGGCGTAAGGCCATCAACAGGCACAAATCAACGTTTTTGCTATAAATCAAGCAACAATGGTCTGGACGACCTGTAATAAATACTTGTAAGTGATGTTATCATAACTAAATTAATGTCATTGCTGAATTTATAAAATAAGTTTCCATACGTAAAATAAAAAATAATCGAAAATAATTAAAATGGGACGGAGGGGGGGAGGGGACGGAGGGGGGGGAGTAATAATTCTATAAAGTGAAACAACTTCACACGAATTCTTGTATTTGAAAAATGAACTCATTAACTTAGTAAGAAACTGGATGATATACCCCTGGAGACTGAAAAATGGGAACATTTGGAGTAAAAGGACTTAAAGTCGCGAAACATCTCTAATCATGTCTTATATACATATTGCTCCCCCCCCCTCCGTCCCCTCCCCCCCTCCGTCCCAAATTCATTATTTTCGATTATTTTTTTATTCACATATGGAAACTTATTTTATAAATTCAGCAATGACATTAATTTAGTTATGATAACATCACTTACAAGTATTTATTACAGGTCGTCCAGACCATTGTTGCTTGATTTATAGCAAAAACGTTGATTTGTGCCTGTTGATGGCCTTGCGCCTTTTTTAATAGATCTCATACCTTAGATGCGTATCGTTTCAGAAAAAATCCCAGAAAACCTAACATATTCTACCATACCGTGCGCCTATCCATTTAGCAATTCAATAGTAAACTTTTTCTTGAAAAAATAAATCTTCCAGATTTGTTGAATTTCCTAGCAGAAATTGCCTGCTCCCCCCCTCCGTCCCATATTCACGATCACCGGGTGTGTTATTGGAGGATAAAATATTTATCAGTGAAAGCTCTAGTTATAAATAGTCGGTATAAACATATTTGCATCGTTACTTGTATTGAGTTTGACGTCACCTAATAGAGCTTTTAGAACTGAAACATTGCAGAGCATGATGACAGCCATGAATATTTAGATATTTTTAATGCAAATCAATACTTCAATGATGTTATGAAAAATGTCTTCGCCATAGGACGCCACACTTCAACTAACAGCTCGTATAATAGAGACATTTTATTGCTAGAGTTAGTACTTTGAGATGCATATATACAGTTAGATATAAAACAGTGTAAAGACATAGAATTATGGACATTTTGGATTAAATATTATCAATTAAAATTTGATCAAATGATGCCAATTAATAAATTATACAGTATTTATCAAATAAACTTAATTTGATAGAAAAAATAGATGGCATAAATTCGGGAACACCTCAAAGATTCATTACTTCAAATTCCCCTACAATGTCTGGATTAATTAAGGAGTTTTTATTAAAAGGTAAATATCTTTTATTATGATAATGTTTTGGTAGAAATTAATTGTGGTTTGTTCTTGTGGCATTGCATTTAATCAACACTTTCAGACATGAAATTATTTACCGTAACTCAAATTGTAAATCAAAGTGAGGTACATAAATAATAAGGGTCCTTGTCAAATTCACCAAGTTAAATTAGCAGATAATCTTCAGTATTTCCAACCTCCATGTTCAATGTCTCAAAGTTTAAGATGTCAAAAGTCAAACTTTGTATATATAGTTTAAAGTCACGCGATTGAGGATTTGTGATGACGCGAAAAATCCCGGGGTGTAAAAGTGATCTGGTGAGAACATTGATTTCTGTATTTGATCTTTCTTACTCTAAGCATTCAGGTTTTGCCCCAAGTGTGTTGTATTTAGGCCAAATAACTGCCATCCAAGATATCAGATCAACTAATTATCTCATGTTTTCAAGAATTAAGATCATTGGCGTCTGAAGGGGGAGGGCATTGGGGGCGACCGCCCCCTCCCCACTTCCCAGATTTTTTTAGATTTTAAACTGAGCCTAGAATTGAAAGCTCTAAAGCTAATAAAGTCAACATGTAATAATGACAGAAATGATACTTTGTCAAAGTCAAGTTAAGTTTTCTAAAACACATTTTTCTTGTTAATATTATTGGGAATTTTGTGCTGAGATATGTTCAGAATGAACCAGAGAGGGTCTAATTTTGAAAAATTTCTGAGGGCACGCCCTCCGACCCCCTAAGATTGCGCTTCACCTTGCGGTGTGCTTCACGCATGACCCATCCATACCCGAAAGTCGCCCCTCCCTTGGCAAATCCTTCTGACTCCCCTGAAGATTGTATGCTCTATAGAAGTCATTGCATGCATTTTTGAAAAGATTGTTTCCAACATTTTAACTACTTCCTTTAATAAGGAAACATTTCATTTTGTCTATAGCTGCTTGAAAACATTTTCTCTTTTTATAATTAATTGCAACAATTTTTAACAATGAGTTAATACAGTGCAGCTATACTACTCTCTCATTCCACCTGTGCATATCTGCCTTTAAGAATTCCAGAATATTTGCATATCTGTTCCCAATTTTAATACAGTTAAGTATGTTTACCATCACTTCAGTTAATCAGGAAAACGGAATAGTTATTGAGGAGACAGTAACAGGTTTCCACTGGCTCTTACTTGTTCACAGAGCTTGTAATAGATTTAATCTTAACACATTGACACATTACAATGTACAAAAAGACATTTTAATTTGAACACTAGTGAGGCCACCGAAAGATTTTCTTATTTGGATTTGTATCGGGCTGTATGCATCTCAAGTTTTTTTAACATGGGAATCAATGCTACAAAACCTGGGTTGAAAAGTGTTCAGATTATCATTTAGAAAAGTATTTGGCCCTGTTCCAATGTACCAGTTTTACTGTATACAGATTAAGATTAACCAACATAAATGGTAACTATGGCAACTTTAGATTATCCACAGATCTAAACATTAATTTTGCATCATCTAAGCTACTTGTTTGTCATCTGGGTCTCAAGTTATTGAGTTTTACCTAATGATAAATTGGAGCAGAACAGAATTGACATAGAAGGGATATTAAGATCATACTGAACATATTTTCTGTAAAAAATTTAAAAGGGCTTAATTTGAAAAAGAGAGGATCATATTTCTGTAAAGGCCCAGTTTTTAAAACTAAATTAAAGATGATGCCTATATTTAAAAATAAAGCTTTTTAATGAGACCTAACTGTTCTTTTTTTCTGGCTTTTATAGCCCATTTATTTCATTTACATCTTCATTGACCTAACTGTTCTTGCTGCTGACAATGCTTTGAACTCTTGGAACGTGAAAGTGGATAAAGTCACCATAAAAAAGGAGAAG